TGGAACAGAATTGAGAACCCAGATGTAAATCCATCCACCTACGCTCACCTGATCTTCGACAAGGGCCCAAAGTCCATCAAATGGGGAAATGACAGTCTTTTTAACAAATGGTGCTGGCAAAACTGGATATCCATCTGCAAAAAAATGAAGCAAGACCCATATCTCATGCAATATACAAAAACTACTTCAAAATGGATCAAAAACCTAAATATAAAGCCTAAAACTATAAAGTTCATAGAAGAAAAAGTAGGACCAACACTACAGGCCTTAATACATGGCATTAACAGGATACAAACCATAACTATCAACATACAAACCCCAGAAGATAAGCTAGATAACTGGGATCTTCTAAAAACCAAACACCTATGCTCTTCGAAAGACTTCACCAAAGAGTAAAAACAGAACCTACAGACTGGGAAAGAATTTTTCGACAGCACAAGTCAGACAAAGCTAATCTCTATAATCTACAAGAAAATCTAACACCTCTGCAACAAAAAGACAAATAATCCTATTAAAAAACGGGCAAAGGAAATGAACAGACACTTCACCAAAGAAGACATTCAAGCAGCCAACAAACGCATGAGGAAATGCTCGCGATCACTGCTAGTGGAGAAATGCAAATTAAAACCACAATGAGATACCATCTCACCCCGGCATTACTGGCACCAATCAAAAACACTGGAAATAGCAAATGTTGAAGGGGCTGCGGGGAGATCAGAACTCTTATGCACTGCTGGTGGGAATGCAAAATGATACAACCATTTTGGAAAATGATATCACACTTCCTTAGAAAGCTAGAAATAGACATACCATACGATCCAGCAATCCCACTCCTAGGAAAATATCCTAGAGAAATAAGAGTCATCATTCGAATAGACATATGCACACCTATGTTCATGGCAGTACTGTTCACAATAACAAAAAGATGGAAACAACCTAAATGCCCATCAACAGATGAATGGATGAACAAACTATGGTACATACACACAATGGAGTACTATGCAACGAGAAAGAACAATGATGAATTGGTGAATCATCTCATAACATGGATGAAACTGGAGGACATTATGCTGAGTGAAATAAGTCAATCACGAAAGGACAAATATTGTATGAGATCTCTATTGTAAAAAGTTCACACACAAAAGGTAACAATCTTTGTTGGTCACCAGGGATGGGAGGGGTGGGGGGGAAATACTAAATAGGCAATAGATAAGTGATTATCTTGGGTGAAGGGTAAGACAGTACACAATACTAGGGAAGCCAGCACAACTTGTACAAGGAAAGTCATGGAAGCTCCATAGACACTTCCAAACTCCCTGAGGGACTGAACTGCTGGGCAGAGGGGCTGTGGGGACCATGGTCTCAGGGAACATCTAGCTCAATTGGCATAACACAGTTTATAAAGACAATGTTCTACATTCTACCTTGGTGAGTA